TCGATTATTAGTAATGTGCAATAATCCGGGATAAATTTCAAATGTGAACAAATCAAACCTTGATGATATGTGAACTATTCATTCTGTGTGTGAATAAAGAAGAGAGTGTGTCTACCGTATGCTCACAAAAGCTGTATAAACATAGTGGTTTTCTTTTACGCCCTATTCTTTTGTTTAGTCTACTTATGATAAAAACGAATGAAACAAGCTTAGTTTTATTCCACTGGTTATTGTTCAGTTACCAACACCCTGAAATGGAACGTTACTCCATACATAAGTGTATAAGGTACTTCAAATCTGTTTCAATTGAGAGGCTATTCAACTAATCTTTCCATCATAATGAAACAGAAGGAATGGATTAAAGTCAGTTATCAAGCAAATGGTTAGAGTTAATTTATGAATAAAATGGTGCAAACTTCTAGAGGAGAGAGCGGCAGTGAAAACATATACTTAGTCAGGCATCTATTCCCCATCAGAATCTGTTTAGTATTCCTGAACAATTCATCATTGTTGCTTCCCGAAAATGAAGTTGTCTCTTTGCTGAACAGCGTTTCAACCGGACTTCATTTGCAATCACTGGAGCAAACAACTTGACAATTGACCCATCTTACGTTCTTCTGTGTGCGTTGGTGGCACAGCGGTAGAATGCTAGCCAACCAGGCAAGTGGTCCGAGGTTTGATCCCCGGCCGAGGCACTCCATTAGCTCGCTAAGCTAGTAGTAAGAATGGTAAAAGAGGAAGTTTTAGCATGAGGCTAGCAACCCCATCACTACTGCTACAGAAATTTCAAGCCTTTAGTCTGAAGCCCTATTTTCCAGTGGGAACGTGGAAGAATAAAAAAACTTTCTTCTCCATAGATATTTTAATTGATTGTACGATCACTTCTTCATTTTACGCTTTCATGCAGAAACTCAAACTGGTTGCATTGATAATCTATTTTATTCTTATTAAGTGGGTGACCTCCATTTTGCCGCAAAGATAATTGATGCACCGTGAATAATAAAGCAAATTGACAAATGCATTGCCAAAATACTACACTTCTAAAGAAATGTCTGCAAGAACCAGATCTCTTGATCTTGTTTCTGCCCACTGTTGCACCCCTAATCTTCACATAGCTTTGATTTTCGCTCACTGATCTCAACTCAATATTGACCCTTCAATTTATCTAATTGCCTGTTCATTTATGTTACATTCACTTGATCTGTATTTGAATTCTCACTCTCATCTCTTGAATTTTCTATCACTTTATGTACGCATAAACCCTTGTTGTTACATTGTTAACAAACTTGTATTCCTGCCTCCTGTTTAATTACGACAGTAAGGATTATCAAATACCCTCTCCGTTGAAGTAACTTCGAAGTTCTTCATATGGTAGCGTTTAGAAAAGTGTGTCAATCCAAACTCCTGGTGGCTTAAATAAAGCTGTGATTTAAAAACCTAGGCCCATTTTATCCTTCAAATGCATTCGTTTACACTTTGTTTGAAAGAAGATTTCTGATTTAATTTTATTGTGTTATGTCATTTTTCAGACAATTAAAATATCATAGCCTAGGTGAAAAAATTGCGTTTACCTGATCACCTATTCATTAGTTTTACCGATGACCATACTTTGGGCTGTGAACAAAAGTTTGAGAAAGCATGAAACAAACAGAATTTTCATCTATCATGACAGGCTGGCAGATATTGAGATAATTAACTATTGAATAAATGCTTTCAACCCTAGTTCTAGGTAAGCATGTTTGTAGACAGAGTGGGAATATAACTGCCCTAAGGGACTACTCTTTTCTGTCAACATTCTCCCACTTATTTCAGTCATTGCATGTGTTCCCATTTCGTTTAAGGAAGCATGATATCAGATTACGGGGAATCAGGAAGTTTTCTCTGATGGGTAGGCCATTATTAAACATATATTATGTGGAAGACTTGTCTCTTAGGTTGAGGTGGTTATGTTTCTTGAACTGAGTGATCGACGGGTAAAGTTTATATTGTCTTTCTAGACAATAACTTCAGCAGGCACTTCAATATAAATATAGAAATAAGGGAATGACGGTATTTAGATACGAGAAAATGTATCAATTATTACTCACCCTTTCTCGAAAGTAAAGCAGAATGAATCCCAAAAAGGCGAGTACAGATGCTATCGTCACGAATATGATTAATCCCTTTGTTGTCAAATTGCTCAACTTCCAACAGAGAGCAATTACAATTGCCGAGATCACTGCTGTTATTGCAAATGATATAAGGAATGACACATAATCATTGTACAAAAATCGAACACCCGCCCACAATGAAATGAACTGGGTAGAGAAATATATGGAATTTGAAAAAAAAATATAATTTTATCATTCTCATTTTATGAAATAGAAGATTAGAAAATTAAGGAAATGGGAGAATTTTTTCTTTAGTTTCATAAAGTGTTCAAACACTAGAAATAAGAAATCATGAAATGGATTTCTTCACGAACTAATGTCTAACAGAGAATTACTGTAAACCACGACTTACTGGTGAACAGCCTCAAACTACAATGAGTTTGATTTTCAATGATTCTGTAAATGATAACGGTGAGCTACAAAGAAATAGGGAAAAATCCCTACAAAATTTGGAACATGATTATAAAACAACTTTGTTTGAGTAATTCAGTATATCCCGTTCCCAAACGAATATATTGTATTTCTTTGAAGCTGGAGCCTTCTTCTTTCAATGTTATTATGTAGTATTCAAGTAATCAAGAGCCCGATCAATTTGTTTTGTATATATCTTAGTGAGAGAGGAGTTCTAACCAGTATCATACCCGTAAGTGTGAATATTTTCTTGGTACACGGAATTCTCGCAGTTCATACTGTAGAGTGATGGAAGTGTAGCATTAATAATAATAATAGCTTTATTCCAAACAGTATTTGTAGTACAGGTATGGAATTTTCAGCGTGCATTACAATATTGCATCTAATTACCTCATAAATTTTTATAAGATTTTAAAAATAAAAAGCAACAACAAAAAGAAAAAAAGATAAATAAAAGAAATGAAAAAAAGAACAGCATTGCATTCACATATTTAAACAATGCACCACAGGATATGATATATAAAATTAGTGTGTAATAGAATATGTGACCAACAATATAATAGTAACAAAGAAAGGAGAAAAAAAGCTAATGGGAACTATTTGTTAGAGTGCCGCAGTAAGGTGATCGTGTCATACCCAACGGATTTCTCATCACATAACAGCTGTGCCAGGTAAGGTATTGTGGAGTTTTGGTACTTGGTAGTCCTAGCATATAGCCTCCTGTGGCTGCTTCTAGTTTTACCAGATGAAATGCAAGGAGAGAGCTGCGTATAGAGAGGATGCTCGGAGTCTGACAATATAGTATTCGCTAGTTTCTTACATGACATTATATGTCTATCCACAATGGTGTTAACCAGTTGGTTTAACGAAATCCCACTTCCCCTACTAACAGCTTTTAGTGCCCTACGCAGCAAAGCAAAGTCTTTCTTAAGTAGTCCAGGAAAGATTAATGGGGAGCAGTAAAGAGGGATGGTTAGAATACAAGAGTTGACAAACTGAGAAAGCAAGGACTGCTTTATACCAGACTGCCTTAACTTCCTAACGTAGAATGTTAAGCGAAACATCTTTCTAGTAACTAGCAAGATGTGAGAAGACCAGGAAAGATCTGAGGAAATACTCAGTCCAAGGTACTTGACATTAGATGTAGTTTCAACCTCTATGCCGTCAATGATAGTGGGACCATGTGAGCTAGCTAGTTGTTGAAGGTCACGTTTTCGTCTGAAAGTGAAATTTACTACCTGACATTTAGACGGATTCAGCTTAAGACCGTTTGAAGAGGACCACTGACTAATTTCCGAGAGAAAGTTATTTAATTTAGAACAGTCTGACTGAGAGTTGACAGGCATGGAGACAGAGAGGTCATCAGCGTACTTGACAAAAGTGGCTACATCAGAATGGGGCAAGTCATGTAAGAAAAAAGAAAACAGAAAGGGAGAAAGAACAGTACCTTGAGGAACACCAGCTAAAGTAATTGAGGTAGTGGAGGACTTTCCATTGTAGACGGTGTACTGACATATACTGTATTATAGCGAGGTGAGTTCCGATCGGATTCACAGGTTCCTATGAAGAGACAAACGGATGCTTTTCTTCATCTAACTGATTGCTACTATGCAAAAGTGAACATCCCAGATGCGTAACACATTTTCGGTGTACCCAACTTTCGAAGAATAAATTCAGTACTTGGATTAAAAATGAACGGATAATTCTTACGGAAATGGATAATGCAGAAAGTTCTTGACGTAGGTTATTGATGTAAAATATTGTAGTATAAATCTTGTCAGCAATGATTGAAATATTTGTATTCAGTGTTTCTTAAGCATGATGAACCAGAATTACAATAATATTCAGTCCACTCAACATTTAACATACAGTGTACATTATCATGCTCGTATATTTCCACTCACAGTTCAACTTACCGATAGCGCCAATAAGATATAGTTTAGTGGATAAGAGGTTCTCAGCTTCTCACTTAGTAGTAAAGCACCATATATGATGACACCACACATTCTGAAACGCAAAACAATTGCATTAGTCATCACAGAGTTATATACATTCTGATAGAATAAGGCATACTGCTAGACTACCAAGAAACACATCAAAAGTGGCCTGTCCAACTTCGTGTTCATTAGATACAGACGATGTGTGTGTATGTGTGAATGGTAGAGAAACGTGTTCAATACCATTAGGATTGTATTGATGATAGATAGTTATGATTTTGAATGAACAGAGTGCTCAATGATAATGAAATTTATGGAATACAACATCAGTAATTGAGGTATGATAAAAATCGTGAAGTTACACTGAAGTATTGACACATGATTCGGTGAGATTAAAATTGAAACTTACAGAGCAACAAAGGCAAGAATGTTGTACCTAGATTTCAAAAAAAAAGGTTATTACGAAACATGATGTGTGTATTACCCACCATGTACTAAACATGTTGTTAGAGAATTGAAAACTGCAAACGACGGACACCAGGCATTAAATATTTGTTGGTCACTTTCGTTTCTTACTAAATAACCGGACTTATAAGTTTCCTATGAATAATTTCATAGATTGGTTACAAGAATATTTATATTACATCTGCTCATAAAAATCAATGTTGTTTTGAAAAGAACTTTGTCAGGCAAAGTCTTGACTATAAACACTAAACAATCAGCATAACATAAATGTGTCATTATAATTTTTACTATGTCCAAAGTACAATAATTACTGAATCGAGTGTGTTTTTGAAACGTGAATACGGTGAAAATATTTTGATTAAATCTACTTCTTTTGTATTTCAGGTGTCTTTTTTTCAAGTATAATTCAATGAGGCATAAAGTTTTCTAAATCTTTGTGATCAGATCAAATTCAAAGCTGAGAGTGATATTGGTATGTATGGAGTTTGCTTTTATTTGTAATGAATATCATTTTAAGCAACTAGGAAAATAATCTGTAGTCTACGAGTCGATGGCACAGCGGTTAGGACTCTCGCCGACCATCCACATGGTCCGAGGTTCGATCCCACTCCGACGCACACCTGATATCTATGGTCGGCCTGCTAAATTTGGGCTAGCGATATCACATGCTGAAAATTTCATACTTGTACCAAAATACTGTGTGGAATCGAGCTATAATAAAAAATTTTTTAATTATTTCTTGGCGGAACAACGAAAGTAGTTTTATTCAATTTCGTTAATGGTGTTGGCATTCACTTCAGTTTATTGTGAACCCAAGAGCTAATTTTAACAAGAACAAAAAAGAAATACGTTCAACCCTTGTCGCTGCTGTGGCCATCATAAACAGGTAATTCTTCTAATAGTGACTATCTCATTGACTTTTTTATCCAAACTTCCTGTTTATTCATGTTATTTTAAGTTTTTCTAAATCCCTATTTACACAACCATATTTTCATATCTGAACTTCCTGTCCATTTTGTTATTTTATTATTTCTATATATTTAATCCCTGATTGCATAAACAATTATTCTTCAAATTAGTCATGATCCCACTAGTCTTTTTTATCCAAACATCCTGTCCATTGTTGTTATTTCTACATTTCTAACCCCTAATTGCACAATCTTCTCAATAATTATGATGCTACTTTGTCTGAGCTTTATTCGTCCCCCTGTTTATAATGACATTCTAATTCCTAATTGTAATTCTATTAATCTGACCCTTGACCAGAAATTATTCTGGAACTTTCCTACCCATTTATTATAAATACACGAATGTACAGCCTAGTTGATGACTTCGTCGACAAGAAAATTTTCTTCGGTGCAACTGTTTTCTTATTTCTATAAGTATTAAACTTCGGAACTGTGGTAGATTGTAACTGCATTATGGATAAGATTTTATTTTGATTAATCACACATTGTTATACAGTAATATATTGACTGATGATGTTTCGAGTACAAATTATTGCTCATGATCATCTCAAGGCACTCACACAACTTTCTTGCTTCATTTATATACATGAGTAAAAATTGATGATTAGACATTTGAATAAAAAATATATAAGATAATGTTTATTTAGAAATATTATTAGTGTTAGCAATAAAATACAATAAGATTGGAAATAAGATGTTTTTTATAGTAAAAATAAATATCTTGTTAGAATTTTAGAATGTACGTGAATTAAAATAGAATTTTAAGATTATTTATTATCTTCCTCTGATTTGACTGGTAATAGTAATATCTCTGACTGCAGCACTGGGTGATGCGGGTTCGAATCTCAGAAGGGACATGAGTTCCTTCAAGGTTGCAGATATGCCTTACTGACGAGTGCCAACTAGCACGAAAGCTAGGTCCAACGCTTCCTGCCGATTGCCTCCAACCATCTGATTTCATCGAATCAATGTGCACCGCGATGGCGAGCTGCCTAGAATGGTGGCCACATTACAAACGTGACTGAGAGAATTCAGTCCACACCAAAGAAAGGACTAGACACATCACACTAGTTACTAGTGTCCAGTCAAAATAATATCTTCTTTCTGGTAGAACCTGTGAGATAGAATGACATCACTTCATACTGTAAATCTGGTCTTTCTTTCCCTATCGAAATAATATCTTCATTTGAAGAGAGAAAGAATGAACATGTTTGCAGGATAATACGAGCTCGTTTTATTTCGTGGATTCTCATCAACTGCACACATCCTAAACCAAATCAAATTATAGGTTTCAAGAAAGTTGTGGAACATACTTTATCATAATTACTTTGAGTTATAGATAGAAGACATAAGGAACATAATTCCAGAACTCTGAGCACATTCCTAAGAGTCTCCGTAAAAAAGGAAGAAAAGTGTTATCAAGGGCAATCGCCAGACATCTAATTGACACAGGACACAAAGTAGAAATTAGCCAAGCCCTCAGAATAATCAATACACAAAGAAACGCACGGCTACTTTGCTTTGCAGAAGCCATTGCTATCAAGAGATTTCGACCAGACCTTTGTATACAGAAAGATAGTGTGATTAATCTTTCACTACCTTGGTAACCCTAACTCTATTTTATTTTTGTTTTGCCTTTCTGTCAGTATGCCTGTGTGTTTGTCTTGTTACGTAACATTCTATTCAATTTTGACCTTCAAGTTTCTAAATCTACTTAATTGTTTTTCTGTTTAAGTTATAAATGTTACTTCACTATTCACCCCCACCCTCTTAAACTCTCCACCACAAGATGTGTAAATTTACTTTGTTCTCTGACCCTGACCCTGTAATATGCCTCTAACCAATCTGTGTTGTTTTCCAATAGAAATCTGAACTCTTACCCCTCTTATCTAATCCCACAATATATAATTAGTTGTTTTTTGACACCGAATAACCTGTCTAACTACATCAAATTCTGGAATTATGTTCCTTATGTCTTCTATCTATAACTCAAAGTAATTATGATAAAGTATGTTCCACAACTTTCTTGAAACCTATAATTTGATTTTGTTTAGGATGTGTGCAGTTGATGAGAATCCACGAAATAAAACGAGCTCGTATTATCCTGCAAACATGTTCATTCTTTCTTCAAACTAATAAAGGGAACCGGTTGCATGAAATATCTTCATTATAGATAATATTTTATTTTTGATAAATCACACTGTGGTATACAGTAACATATTGACTGATCAGTTAATATTACTGTATAACACTGTGTGATTTATAAAAATTAAATATTATCTATAATGGAGTTATACTCTACCACAGTGCTCAAGTTTTATACTTATATTAATAATATCTTTCACATCTCTGCTATTTGCGTTAAGTCACTTGTATTCCATGTGTTGGGTGTAGACTCGATGAACCAGGATTCAGTGATCAGTCTCTTTCTCCATCCACCTATATTACTTCTTAGAATTTTAATTCTATCCCAACCTATTGTGTGGCTGTGTGTTAATGCTTGCAGTGCGATTGCTGAGTTTTTTTCTAAATTAATTATCTCCGTTATATCAATCATTCTGAAGTAAGCCACTAAATTTTTATGTTATGATAATCTCACTACTCCTGTTCGATCTACTAGTTTGACCTATGTAGTTGTTTAAATGGGTCCACCGGGTCCTTTAGCCTACAAAGCTTGTCCCTGATTGCGTTTGTAGGTTTGAATGCCACCCTAATTTCTGCTCAGGGTCTCAGATGTCTACTCCTTATATTGTATAACTGTAGATGCCTTATATTCTCTCTTATTTATGTTATCATTCATAGTCTCGCCATTAATTTTATTCTGCTTTTAACCTTTTCTAATCTTCATAATGAGTATTATGGGACAGTTATTTAACACCAACGCTTCTTCTATCTGTTTTATTTCATCATATAGGTGTTTTGTTGTACTACTTAGTGCTATTCCTCGGTATGTTAGACACTCAACTAAGCCAGCCTTTACAGACAACGGATGAGATGAATTAAAGTCTAAATATCTATTGAAATACGTTGGCTTTTTATAAACGCAAGTGTGCAGTTTACCTTCTTCTATTCGTTTCATTTTACAATCTAACATAGCTAATCCTTCTTGTTCATTTTCCAATTCAAATGTAAATTTTATTCACTTTACTAGTGAGTTTGTATGTGCAAAGAAACTGGAGGTATGCTCTGTTTTTAATACTGTGAAAGCGTCATCCGCATACCTCCACCATATTTTTGGAATAGGTTTAAGTATATTAAGAGCCTACATGTTCCCAGCTATCCATTAAGATATCTGCTACAATAGGAGATATTGGTGATCTCATTGCTACACCAACATTTTGTTTATATATTTTGTCCTGGAATTTAAAAGCAGTAGATGTGAGGCATAACTGAATTCCCAAACTAATTTTCCCAATGGGCAACTTTGTCCTGTGTCTAAGTTCGTGATGAGAAGTTATTTCTCTTTTAACCGCTTTCAACACCATGTTGATTGATATCAAAACTGATCATTTTTTCATTATTCTCTGATTGGATGTTATTAAGTTTCCTTCTCATTTTATATGAATTACTTAGCCAGAATTTCATCATGAGCTGATATTGGTGAGAGAACCATTGGAAAACCTGGGAGTACTGGACAGCTGTTTCGTCAGCCTAGTTTTTGACTCTTCAGCAGTACGCACCAACCACCAGGGTTCGAACCCAAAGCCTCCTGGTTACAGAAGAGTTCGTAGACCATTCAGCCACTGGGACCCGATCCAAAGGTTCATGAATTCTAACTTTTGCCAATTCGCGATATAGCGCAACCGCTATGCAATGTCTTCGGCGAGTATTTGTCCTCACACCCGATCTGCTGCACCCTACTGGTCACGACTTTCCACTGGACCATTGGATCGGGTCCCAGTGGCTTAATGGTCTACGAGCTCTTCTGTAACCAGAAGGCGTCTGAAGTAAAATGCTCATTATTCTTAGAGGAGGCCACATTCCAACATGCTGTTGTTCACTTCACTTTTATTACCAAACAATTTACAATGATGAGGTGAATATCAATGTGAATATTGTAGAACACGAATTTATGAGATTCTCTATCACACATCTCACAAATTCGATACTCAAGAAATCGCTGTGGTACTCAGAACATGTTGGAGTTGAAAGGGTGAAGGGAAGGTTGTCAAGACAAATGTGTATTTTTCAGTCTCCCGCTATTATTGCTCAGATGTGTACACACATTTCAACTAATATCACTACTATTCATCCTTAGCATTCTAAGGGAACAGTGAACTTCAGCAGTACATTTCCATTCCAAAAGATTCTCAGTCCTAACTCACAGATTGTTAAATGACGACCTGAATGCCTTTTATTCTTCTCCGTATCATGTTTGAACGACCAAACTGTCGCGCATCATTCACGTTCCAATCGACACCCTGCTTAGTTTGAGATGTCAAAAACTGCTCTACACAGTGACATTCAAGTCTTAACACTTGTTGAGTATCATGTTCTGTTAGTTTCTGCTTGTACAGTTTCCGCTTTGAGCGACATAAGCTGCTGTTAGCGAAATACAGATATTCTAGGATACTTCATCAATGCGATGTATTCCCATCAACTCACACGCCAGAGTCTGTCACACGATCTCATCTACTACAGTCAGGGTGATGATCGATGATAGCACTTAGCCTGTTTCTCACCTCTCTCAAGATCAAACGCGTCAGTGAGCTTTCTCTTGTGACTCATTTCTATCAGTTTGCTGAATATTTGTGGAATCGCACTTCACAGTGTTAAGGCATTCTTTCGATGCTGTTGAACTCGATTTCTGATGTCAGTAAGGTGGAGGTGCATAGGTGGCTACCGCTCTCAGGTCTGCATGGTGATGATGAATTATGCTGTAGTTTGTTCCACATCCATTTATATTATTATTATTGTATCCTTTAATTTCTACAGGAACATAGGGCTTCAGCCGTGCGTCTCCATTGAGTTCGGTTCTCTGCTAGAGTCTTCACCTGGCTCCATGTCTGCCCACACGTTTTCATCTCCTCTTCACATGACCTCCTCCAAGTCACCCTTGGACGACCAACTCGCCGCTTCCCTTTCGGGTTCCACTCGAGCAATGGCTTGTCTAGTGATGTCACTTGATGGTCACATCCGTTTAGTCTCTTGCATTCACCCTATTTCAGTCGAATCCTATTACTCAGACCGTCATGCAAACATTCCATGGTGACGCAGATCAGTATATTGTTAACAGAGAACAGGAATATGGTTCCGCGGTAGTTGTTTCTTGAGCTTAGGTCAACGTCCTCTGTAATTTAAAACAAGCATTCTTTATCTCTTCACACCTTCTTCAGTGCTGACGTCATCATTTCCGTTAATCTCTCTGGCCCCGTTCACAGAGCTAACGGTGACTTCTATCTGGTCACGCTGTTTTACTAGCTCTCAGTAATTTTATAGTCCTCACGATCCCCATATACATCGGTGGGTTGGTATTCACTTACAGTTCCGTTTCCCGTAGTGGTGAATCTGGATGACTTGCATTTGATAGTCAATTCAGCAGTTCTTCTAACTACTCCGACCAACGTCTCCTCTATTCCACTTCTTTGATAATTGCGCTTCGTCCACCACATCCTATTGACTTCATCTGTATTGATCTCTCCAGTGATATGTACCTGACCACTTCGTATGGCGTTGTGGGTAAACCTTACATGAATCCTACTTGAAACTGTTAGCCTACAACTGAGAGAGCATTGTGAAGATGTCTGTCGCCTTTCTTGGAACTTCACCTCTCCTTCATTATTCAGTGCTTTAAATTTGCTGTATTCACCTACCCCTCCTCCCGTTGATCATCTCTCCTTTCTGTCGTATTCAGTTTCACCATCCTCTCACCTGCCTCAGCCTCAAGGTAACACTAAACAATCATGTCTTGTCTTTCCTCAATTACCTTGTTTCTTTCCCCTTGACAATTTCATATTTGTATGAAAGTAGGTTGATGTGAAAGAATCCCTCCGATTTCTTACTGAATGTAAGATATCAAACTCATTTCTAACTGCCGTGTTTTACTTTACAGATTTTGTTCTGTGTAGTATGTGGACTCAGAAAACGCTTTCGGAAAACAACATCCAAGTTCAAGAAGATGGTGGACCTATTGAATATATACGTTGCAGTTCTTTTAGTGTTCACAGCAATATGTGTTTGCTTTGTTTGAGAAGGGAAGAAGTAAATATGCAGACCTCATACTTTGAATTCGTCTTGTGAATTCTTAAATCATGTAATATAAAATCTTCAAATACACATTGCCACTGCAGTTTATTTATTCCAATACAAGTTATCGCAGTGTTCTCACATGTTTATAAATTTTCCGGGAACAGGGATGTGTTTTGTTACCAGTAAACTAATTTTCATTGAGTATCATCAACAGTAGAAATCCACCGAGTTAAACAAATCACTATGGGTGTCAATGACTTCACTGAAATGACAGTACATTTGACAAGGCGTAACAACATGATCCGAAGTCTGTTAAAAGGTCACTAACACTTAGTGTCTTGACAGATGGAGCGTATATTCGTTGGCGTATGGAGAACTATAAGACTGTCAGACCGGTCTCCACCAGTGCTTGTTTGATCATCTGAGAAACAGCATGACAAACATCACTTGTAGTATCAAGTGTGCTCAATTTATTTCAGTTTTCTTTCCCGGTGAGATGGGAATAGCCTCAAACTTACATAGTATTAATGGAATAAGTACACGCATTTCTTATTCTATTCAGCAGAAACTCAGAATGACGATAGCTGCTTAATGAGACAACAAGGAGTGAAATGTGATGACAATAATATTACAACTGACACAAAAATACCCTGGTCACTTATAATAAGTTGGTAAGAAGATTTGAGAAGTAGTAATATCGCACTGATTACACAGAAACATATCGGCCCCGATAATTAGGTTGTAATATACAAGAAGGCGTTTACCATTGATATGAAATGTTTTCAGACCGAAAGATAAATATCACTAATTTGTCTGTTGAATAAAACGTAGTATTGATCAGTCAAAACTGGTGGAATAATGTGTCCTACCTGTAATTGCGTCCGTAACAAACTATAACCCATTGGCATATTGTGCGCTATGTCCACTAGTCAAGAAATTCCTCAAATACACATATCAACCCATTGACCTACAGTTTCATTTCACAGATGTTTTACGGAGCTCAGTAGATCCATTGATGAAATTAGATTTTTTAAAGTACACCTTGATTCAAATCAACACTTGAGAATTAATCAGCAAATTATGCTTCACTGTTACGAAATGTCGATATGATACCTGTTACTTAAGTATACTGTTATTTCATGAGCTGGTATATTTGTAATGCAGCAGCGATCAGTTTATGTCGAATTAAGTAAGGAATGGACGACAGTGAGTTTACTCATTTAACAAATAATACATTGTATTCACTCTTAGTCTTCCTACAATAAATATAACACATAAGACACATACAGAAATATATATGAAATGATATTTTCAAAATATTCAGACGGAGATGTAAATTTACATAGAAACAAAACTGTAAGACGTGTTTAATTTATTCACATATCTGTTACATTAGACTAGCAGTAATAAAACTGTAATTTCACCAACACTGACGTCTTATTGACGACAGAAATCACACTTTGAATTATTAGGATTTCAGCTGTCAAAGCTCCCACGAAAATATTCACAAGCAGTTTTAAATGATTATTATTTTAAATCGAAATGTGAGTAACTAATATCTGATGACTGCAATTTAGTGACAATAGAGTTATACGGATTCTGGTGATACGGGTAGTTCTCCCCTATTCAACAGAAAATCCTCCTTCCACAGTCTTTTTTCTTCTCAAAACCCACTGCACTGTCTGCCAAAATAGAAACGATGGAGCTATGGTACGTAGTAAACCATTCATTTTGCTTTATAAACCTTATTTGCACTCTAGGTTGAGGATCATCGTGTTTATTTTTTGTGAGATTCTATATAATAATTAATGGTACATTCGACTGATAGAGTGTAACATTTTTTCCTAATATGCTTCTGTTACTATAATTGTCACCAGTAAACAATTTTCTACTCACCCATACATGCATATTCTGTCAACTTCATCAAGACACAAGATCAGCCCTCCTTTACTCAATAAATGATCATGAATATGTACATGACATTGACGGTGTGAGACATGGTGCTGATTCATTCAGATACTTACGATTGTCAGTCAGTGATGAACTGAACATATTCATACATCTCTATTCGTGAATAGCTTAGAAACATACCTAATACTGTCAGTTGGAATGTAGCATCTAGGTTGCTAATGCCTTTGTTTATTTTGTTACAGAGTATGCTAGTTGAGAAGTTGAGAAGCAAGTATCCAATTAATTATGCAATACTGGCATTGGTGGTAAGTCGAAATATGCGTAGACAATTTTGTGGGACCTCTGTACGTGAAATGTTACCTAGAATGAATATTGTTATATTTGTGAACTGGTGTCCTTGAGGAAAGCTGACTACAGATGTTTTAGTCGTCGCTGTTGAAATACTTTGAAATATCAGATAAATATGATTTGACAGAAAGAAAATATAGTGTCAGTATTGAAATGCATGTTATATTTGCAGGAGAATACATTTCAGTTGATTGTACCATGAATGATGTAATCTAAATAGAAATGTTTTGCTCATAAACACAGCGTTTCACAAATTAAATTAAGTTTATGTTATTGGTGCACAGATACAATCATGTTGGTGATTATCGTACTTCGGTCATAGTAAACATTTTATTGGCAAATTTGCATTATGTACACTTTATATTGTTATCAGTAGACCTTAACCTCACACAGTGTTTGTTTTTATCAGAAATTAATGGATATAAGCAGATGTGTTATAAACATTATTGCACTCAATCTACCAACATAGTCAATCTTGCTACTGTACAGCTTAACTGTAAGTTCATTAACAATATTTATCACTGACATTATTAGACGTTTTATTTGAATATGTTGAAGAGATTGTTTGAGATAGTGTTGGATAAGCAGATTGATAATAATGGAATGTGTGATAAGTGAAGGTGAGATTGGAACAGTATTGTAACAGGATTTCAACAAGTGGCGTTCAAGCCAATAGAGCAAAATTAAGTTTCAGTTTGTGTGTAACTGACTTGAATTTCACCCACAATTTCCATTCAACTTATGCACCAAGTTTTGTATACAACTTTGGGATAAATAACACGTTATGTTCTTCCTCGAGTAAAATTCGATATTTCGAAGACCATATACTCTTTTCAGATTTACACTGACACTCTTTTTTTGTAAATATGCAGTAATGCTGGTAAGCAAATTCTTATTCACAGTCGATTACTCGGAACTGACTGCACCCACTTCATTGAATGGGATGTGAAACGCGTTTTTCATGTGCCCATGTGTTGTGTTGAATCACTCTGTATATGTAAATTGAATTTTGTTAGTTCACTGCTTTCAATGTGATTTACTTCTGAAAACATCGTATTCTAAATTAGCTGGTGCATGTTTACATAGTACACGGAAACTCGTTGAACTGTTTAAGCCCCTTAGTGAAATATTTTTACAGAATAAGTATTGCAATCTTCACTGATTTGCTATCATTCCTTGAACTAAGAATCACTTCATGCATCGTCTCTTACTGTGTCAAAAGTCATAAGAAGAATTCCAACATAGAAATGACAGGCGTCATGATGAATGTCACAATGTTCATTAAGTGTGAGATAAACCTGTCATCAATTATGGGGAAGTGAGGACACTTCGTTTCTTATTTTTCATAGGACTCATAATGAAATATTGATCTTAGTCATTTAATGCCAATGTGGTTAATAAAATTACAGTTCAGGCATGTGAGGTAGTCGACAATAATCGAGGTTATCCGAAAAGTGATGAGCCCGGGATGAATTCATTCACGTGATTTTGTAATCTAGGTATCCATTCATCGGGTGACAGTATTTATTCAGTTATGATACTGTCAGTGGAAGTTGTGACGATATAAGTGGATTCATTTGTGCAAGGACATTTTAAGCAGACAGCTGGATTCAAATTACTATTCGACAGTTATAAGTAAGAGATTATGCTTCACTGTTTTGATACCTCTATCTGATATCTGTATATTCAGAATACGTTTATATTCTGAACTTGCAGATACACGAAAATGACATTGAGCGTATATCGACGCAAGTTATGAGTGGACAACAGTGCGTTCACTCATTTGATCAATTATGCAACTTATTCAGATTAGGGCTGCCAGAAGTAGATATAATAAATGTATATATAAAGAAATATATACCTAAATGTTAGTTAAGAGTAATTAAGGTGTGTTTTCACCAACAATTATGCCTTATAAGAAGCAGAAGTCAAGCTTGAAATTATTTGGATTTCAGTTCACAAAGCAACTTGTTGGATAGAATCACAATAAAGAAAACTTATTTAACGGAAATATTCACACGGACACCTTCGACTTCAATCTCCTGATAATCTTTTTATTTACCCACAGAATTTTTCAATTGTTAATTGTACGACGAAGGTGATTTACGAATATTGTTGCTTGTTGTTTACAATTTGAAAACAATAATACGGACTTTGGCGATACTGACAGTCACCAACTATTTAACGAGGCCGCATCATTCCACATTCCTCCATATATATAAGGTGGATAATTCTCACAACCTTGAATTACAGCATCACAATGACTACAGGGTAGGTAAAACACATTTCATGTTCCGTAATAACCTTTGTTTGTATTTTAGAGTCAGAATTGCCTTGTTAATTATTCTGTGAGTTTCTTTGTAAACACGTTGTTGGATTTTACCAGTACAGTGTTAAATTCCTTCTTAATATGCTTCTGTTACTATTATTGTCACCAGTAAACAAATTTCTACTCACCCATACATACATATTCTATCAACTTCATCCAGACACAAGATCAGCCCTCCACTACGCAACTATTCATCATGAATATGTGCATGAGACTGATGTTGTGAGACATGGTGCTGATTCATTCATATACTTACGATTGTCAGTCAGTGATAAACTGAAAATATCCATACCTCTCAATTCATGAATGGCTTAGAAATGTGCCTAATACTGTCAGTCATAATGTGACATCTAGACTACTATTGTATTCGCTTTATTTTTGTTTCAGATTATGCGGAATCTGTTTGTATGCTGCTTTACTGCTAGTTGAGAAGTTGAGAAACATGTATCCAATTAATTATGTTGCACTGGCATCGGTGGTAAGTCGAAATATGCGTAGACAATTTTGTGGGACTGGCATATACAACCTCTGTAAGTAATATCTTACCTAGAATGAATATTGTAATATTTGTGAACTGGTGTCTATTTGAGGAAAGCTGACTACAAATGTTTTAGTTGTCGCTGTTGAAATTCACGGTGAAACATTGTTCGGTTATCGCATAAATCTATAGCTTTCTGCATTTCCTCTTTCGTTGTAAATGATTTGATCATTTAAATGTCATGTGTTATTGAAATTCATCTCACTACCACGATAGTGATCACACTGTGAGGCGTCGTTCTGAGTAAAGCGCCTCTCTCGCTCTCCTCAAGAAATATACAACACAAATTGGTCACATTCTCTATTTCTTTATTCATCCACTGAAGAGTATTTATTAATATTCAGAGAAAGAACTTAAATCTGACTTGCTATAATCGCTTTTCCAATTTGTAGGTAATTTTATTGTTTCGATTTGACCTCTGTCACGACTAGATACTAGTCATAGAATCACTGTATAGCATAGAGAAATGGAATGCGATTCCTTCATAGTTTGTCATTCTGATTATCTGTTCGATATAATTTCGTGAAAGACTCAACACAAAAAGTAGTCAGAAATCCACAATCATTTCACCTGAGTAAATAGCAAACCAAAACCGAACTTGTCACTTGATAAGAAGATGCGTTGATTACCTTATTTTTTTTATAAAATGAGAATAATATATTAATATTTCAGTTTTCAATCACTTACCAACTCAGGTTGTTTTACTGTTTGCCGGTGTGGGATTTTTGTATAATGGTCTACCACCTCTTGGTATCTCAATTGGTGTAACCCTTGGGGTCTCAGTGATAATAATATTTACCTGTTGGAATTTGAATAATCTGACACCGAAGGGATTCAACGTATTCGCCTCAGTAGCAGCTGGACTTGCTCTCGTGGGATTTGTTTTCCTAATCCTCAAGGCGTTATTGACATCGGTAATCATTTATGAGTAAACTTGTAATTCATTTTTATGTCAGAGATGTCGCCTTAACTCTTAGATAACTGAGAACATGCATCTTAAATCACAAAACGAATAACTTGTATGACAAACACATATACGAGTCTGTCTGTTGAAGAGAGTGGTCTGTTTCAGGTGATCTTTTAAGATATTTGCTCTGCTTCAAGTGTGATTATAGACTGATTAATTGAATATTTCCTTGTGGTTGGCCGTTAGTAAGCAGTAAACTCAACTTGTCCAAATGACATAATATGATCAACTCTCTTGCACACGATATCCCAATTAACTTTGATAAATCAAGCCATCAGTGTGCATCAAGTGAAACGTTATCGTTCGAGCAAAGCTAGAATGAATATATTTGCAGGATAAATAAGGCCCAGCATTGATTTCATGAACTGTTAACAGCTTCAAGTATATAATGTATCGAAATAGCCAAACTCACCAGATGTTCTTGCTCCATATGGAATTCTATCAGTCAACTTTTCAATATGGTCATCAATCTAGAATTGTTGCCAACACAATGCCCTTCCGACTGATGTTAGGTGACTGAAACCAATCGGTCGGAAGCCCGGAATTCAAGCATACCAATAGAATTCATCCTGTGCAACATCTCACAACAAAAACAGTTCAAAGTGTTCTAATTGTGGTGCTCCACGTTTTTGGAGAGGAAGGGAAGACATTCTTCTCTCCTCTCATATTCAGGATGAATTATTCACGTACTGTCGACATGTCATATATTCGCCTTTGTGGAATTATCTCTGAGTACTACTCAACTGTTTCGTCTCAGTAATTCATTACCTATATACGTGTCATCTTCAAAAGTGTAACTAGATTATGCGAAATAGAAAGCGCAAGTTCTTAAAGATAATCCCTTGACATTAGTTTAAGGACAAAGTTGTCTTTATTAAACACCTGATTAAGTGGAATAGATTATCGAAAATCAGAGATGAATTGAATGCATTCCAATTTCCACGTTAATTCATCAAACAAAATTAATCATTCAATTCATACACTGGAGATTATTCAATAGTCCCAGTCATTCATCCGACATGGTAATTTTTCTTTTCATTCTAGCTAATATTCGGGTATCTGGCGAGTGCATTCTTGTGTTGTGCAGCAGCTGTTGTAAGTCTCCCACCATTTATAAAGCCGAAGATAATTTGCATTTAGTGAAGTATTGATCATGTTATTGTTTGTATTTGTCTTCTTCATTTCACATTAAATTCAGTCTTCCTTACGTGTAGAACACTTCTTCACTAATGAATCACATTAATGCATTCACACATTGTCTGATGAGTAACTTCCTAAATTCGCTAAGCCACAGTTCTGAGCTTTGTTCAAATTCATGAACAACCACAACAACAAGTGCGTAATTCATTCAGATATGCTTATTTTACATCACTAGTAATACTGAACAATTTAAAATAATGGGGTGAATATCTATGTGAATATTGTATAAAGCGAATGTTTCAGATTTTCTATCACATATCACACAGATTAAATAATCAGAAAACTGGTGGGATAACCGGAAGACATTGGATTTGAATGGGTGAAGGAAAGGCTATCAAGACATATGTGTATTCTGCATTATTTAGCTATTACAATGGTAGTTACTACTACTATTCATCCTATGTGTTTCAAGGGAAACAGTGGGCTTCCACAGTATGTCTCCATTCCACTCTGTTAACTGTTGTCTAAAACACGTGGCTAAGTGGCGGCATTCAATCTTCTCATTCTTCCCCTTATCATCATTGCGCGACCAAATCATCTCATCCCGTTAACATTACACTCTACATCCTGCTTAGTAAGATATGTTGCAAAACGGTCTACACAGCGAATGTATAGTTTATCTAAATTTTTACCCGCACTCTTGTTGAGTATCAAGTTCTTGGCTACTGGTAAAGTCACACAGTTTCTTGTTGCTTAAACTTTCCAGTTGGCCATCCGATCTGCACTGTCGAGTCAGTGAATGCATCTGTTGATAACATTCTGAAATCAGTTTCAAATGATCTTGGTGATGTCTATTCCAAGTATCTGAATCATATGGGATCACTCACCTGACGACATCAATGCAAATTCGAGTGCTGTTCATTTTGCTAATTACTGTGCAAATAACTGAGCACTGATTTCAGAGTGATGCATTCTTCAACCGATCACATTCCGCCTAGCTCTTGTAATGTCATCCGTGTCGATACTACTGGGATATAAAAGCGAAAGAGTCCACATTCCTTATATTTCTTCAATTCACGGTAGTTGACATGTGTTATTATATTCCACGGATCTTGACCAACCCCTTTTTATCTCTCTATGTTCACCTGAATTCCTAATTTGCCTATTTATTCCCTGCATTTCTTAGTTTTAACTTGTATAATTCGGCGAAATTCAGATATTCTGGGATATTTTGTCATTTTCACAAAGTCCTGTCACAATCCCACGAACTACAGTCATAGAGATCATAATTGGTATCCAGAGTCTGTACTCTATACCTCTGTTAAGACCAAACGCTTTACTTTTTGAATAATTCAAATCGCTTTTTTCAATATTTGCCGAGCCGCACTTCACACTACCAAGGGATTCTCTTCATTCCGTCAGACTTGTCTTCAAAGTCACCCAAGTAGAGATGCTTAGGTGGCTACCATTTAAAGATCTGCTTTGTTGATGATGCAATATGTTGTAATTGGATGCAAACATGAACTGGTTTTCTGAATCCACACTGTTCCGCTCAAAATATTCTTTGCAGAATCATGTGGCCTAATATATTGTTTGTAGTGAACATGGGCATGGTTCCATGCCAGATATTGCTTGGGTTTAAATCACTCCAGTTTGCTGGTTTGTTAAAGTACATTCTATTCACCTACATATCGCGCACTTTGTGCCATGATTATGCCTGATGAAATCGCTACCTACATCCACAGTGCCAACACGGATTTTCATCTGGTCATGCTATTTTACTGGCCTTTAGTGACATTGCTATCTCCATGACTCCAGTTTTCATCGTGGGTTGTTATTCACCAGCAGTTTCCTTCCTCGGTCAATTGCAGGTGGTGGTCGATACAGCAGTTCATTGAACTGCTCTGGCCAACGTCTCCTCTATTCCATCTACTTGATAATGTTCTTTCACCCACCACCTCCCACTGGTTTCACTTGCATCGATCTCTCCACAGATGCGGATCTCATTATCTCATATAGTATTGTGAGTTATCTCATACTTGCAGTCTGTTCCGCTACAGCCGACAGTGTGCTGTGAAAGACTGTTTCGCCTTCCTTAGAACACTTCTGCACCATCACTTTTCAGAGCCCTTTACGTGGTACTCAGTTTTAGCTTTAGAATTCTTCCATATGTGTTTCATAGTTCATGTTGTGTAATATGTCTGATGTTTTCATTGTTATATAAAGACGTGATGTTAAAGAATACCTTCGATTTCCTGATGAATATAAACATATCAGATTCATTTCTAATCCCCAAATTTCGCTTTTTCCAGATTTTGTTCTGCGTGGTATGTGGACTCAGAAAACGTCTTCAGAAAGAAAGACCTATGTTCGATAAGATGTTGGACCTTTTGAATATATACGTTGCAGTTATTGCAATGTTTGCAGCAATATCAGTTGGCTTTGCTTGAGAAAGAAAGGAAGTATATATATGTATATATATATATATATATATACAGAGTGTATACTTTGCATTCATCGTGTGAATTCCTTAGACATGTGATATAACTCTACATTTTCTCTAATACCTCATTTATTCCTATTCATGTTAACAAAATGTTTTGATGTTTATAAAGCATTAATGGAATACGTCCACACATTTTCTACTCTAATCATTAGAAGCTCAGCATAAAGATCGTAGTTTAACGAAATAGCAACGACTGAAATGTGATTGTATAAATGTAACAGCTAATACCGAAACACCCTGATCATTTGTAATGTTTGGATGAAAAATCGAGAAGTTTGTGTTCATGCCTTCGCACTAATCTCCAGTAACATATTCGCAGAAAAGTTGTTTCGTAATATGCGTGTAAGAGTTTAGAAGTGCTTTAAAATCTTTTAAGACCGTAAGCTAAATATCACTAATTCGTATGTTTGAGCAAAATATAGACGTGATCAGTCGAAGCTAGTGGAATGTGTGTTATCTCTGATTACGTCCGTGTCAAAATACAACACACTTGGATATTGTGCGATGTGTCGACTAGTCGAAAATTTCTGACAAATAGTTGTCAACTCATCCACTCACCATTTGATTTCACAATTTCAACCACACAGAGTGGTTTCGTTATAGTTACCACTTCTATAAATAAAACATACTGCTAATCAGAGCATTAGTTCTTATAGATTGAATCCCATTTATGTCCTTTCAATGTTTTCCGTTTTACCCTGTTTAGTTTTGAGTGAAGCGATTGTGTCGGTTTAAGATCTGTATCTATGCTGATTGGTTTCGGTACTCCAGCAGTTATCTTTTCTTTCTGATTAGATGAATTTTCCTGTTATCTTTGAGATATGCCCGGTTGATTGGGGAGTAGGCATATCTTCATGAAGCTACGAAGGTATCGACTTTTCTAGACGGCAGCTGAGGGATATTCGTCTTTCATTCTCCACAGAAATGTGACCCAGTAGTGTGTCTTCATTCTTTCAAGTAGTGTTTTTTGACAATTCCTAATGTGTCCTACCAAATTGTCCCTATTGTATTCTGCATTTGATGAATGTGAACGCATACTGCATACTTTAATTTCGAGATTTTCTATTCTGTCTCACTATGATATCTCCTCCATTTAGTAATTTCTTAAACTCCGTACATAACATGATTATTTCCACCGATAGTATCGTTGATCTCGACATCCACTCATCTTTCTAATGCTTTCTTTAAGAATATTATTTGAATATAGGCAAGTATATAAATGGAACATCGAGCCGTTGTCGTCGTGACTGTTTACGAAATCCTTTCTATCGGAGCGATTCCTATTCACTGACAGAAAACAAAATGGTGGCGTGGAATATCTGCAAAACGTCTTCTCAATCGTTGACTGGAAAATTAATATATCACCACTCTGCAAACTGGCTAATTGAATTCGGCTATTCATGTTTCTGAACTATTTACAAATATGCAGTTAACAGCCTTTCATCGGTGATAAGTATAAAATTAAACTGAATGTTAGGGATTATTTCGCAGTTAGGGTCAAGAGATTAGATTCACTTTTTTTAGTGGAACACTGATCTTGTATCACTTCCGTTCACATAAAGCTAGCGAAAGGAGTTGACCGAAGAAGGGGAAGTGACTTAGGTAGAATGATAAGTTGGAAAATCTTCCCAGATGAATCACATGAGATGAAGATTCTTTCCAACCAATCCAATATTGGTATTTTCTATTCCGATCGAATTTACCCTTCAACAAAATGGACAACCTTCAAACTACCATTGTTAAGTTGTTTATGCGGATAGTTCAGCTGAAGTTACATGAAAAACTGCTGTCAACTGCTATCCTTCAAGGTCTTACAGGACCACAAGTACGTCCAAAAGTGGTAAATTGGGTGCAGTTTGTATTAACACAATTCTCACAATCCTTTCAAACCCCCTCTTCAAAGGGAATTGAAAGCTCCAGTGCTCTTCTCAATCATATTTGAAGTTACAGGCTTCTACAGCCTACTTCGATGATCTAAATCTGATCATTTCACCGAAAGCAGTATTCATAGCATCTGTTTATTCGAATTAGCGTTTCATAAATTCATTTTGCAACTAAACTAATTGGAGAAGTAAACGTGAGTGTTTGTGTGGCTTGGCTTTAAGTAATGTAAAGCACAAATTCAAATTAAAGGCGTATCCTAATAATACAATCGAAACGAATTGCAAATATGCTCTCCACCTAATTTAACATTAGTTATCTAGAACAAATGGCATTCAATATAGAAACAGAGACAGATAGACACTACAGCACTACGTAGTTACCACATCAATGATACGATGTTGACAGCTATGATAGACTCATAAGTGATTACCGAAAATTCGTGTCGGACTAAGACCGAACAGTGCCGCGACACTCCCTGATTCTCAATCCGTCTCTAAGTGATATCAGTTCATCAAGGAATCTAACTTGAAATCAATCAAATCGGTACAAACTAAACATTTAAACATTTGTATTAAATTATATTTGTAAAATCTCAGCGATATTGAAATAAGTAATTCCAACGTTTCGTTCGGCAATCTGGTCCGAACTTCTTCAGGGAAATTAATCAAAATTAACATAACAGAGGTTTTATATATAAAAGGCACATCTTTTTAAAAACTTTGTCCAATCATGATTCATAAACACAAGTATTAACAAGTATAATAAACAAAATTGTATGAACTGTGATCAAAATTTGACCTCGGACTTACAAATATTGGTCTACCTTTGTTAAATACTCTAAACAGAGTGTGCATGCGTGTGTGTGTAAACAGTCGTAAAACATTTCTTAACGTCTCCATAGGAAGATATAGACAGTCAGGAATTTGACCAAGTATTATTAATTAGTGATACATATCCATTTTTATTTATTAATCAGGATTTCCTATGCATCAGCTAACATCAAACCTTCATGTCCGTTCAAACTGCTAGTATCTAGAATTTTATGATTAGACGTATTTTCAAAATTATGGTGTTTAGGATTAGAGTTTAGTTTAAGCACCCTGTCGAACTTATTGCATTGTCTTCTTTCTGAATATTGAGCTGCTTTATTCGACCTACTGGGGTTGTCAGGTGACTCGACAGCTACGGATTTAGGATGTGCATTTTGTTCCAGACAACGGAGACTGAAATCACGATGATTGTGCCAATTACATAGTTTCTTTGTTAATTTAATTCGATAGCAAAATAATTCAAATGAACTGTCGTCAAGATTTGACCGAATAGTTCTAAAATATTTGGGCGCCGAGTGAGAAGTAGACATTTGTATTAAATTATATTTGTAAAATCTCAGCGATATTGAAATAAGTAATTCCAACGTTTCGTTCGGCAATCTGGTCCGAACTTCTTCAGGGAAATTAATCAAAATTAACATAACAGAGGTTTTATATGGAGACGTTAAGAAATGTTTTACGACTGTTTACACACACACACGCATGCACACTCTGTTTAGAGTATTTAACAAAGGTAGACCAATATTTGTAAGTCCGAGGTCAAATTTTGATCACAGTTCATACAATTTTGTTTATTATACTTGTTAATACTTGTGTTTATGAATCATGATTGGACAAAGTTTTTAAAAAGATGTGCCTTTTATATATAAAACCTCTGTTATGTTAATTTTGATTAATTTCCCTGAAGAAGTTCGGACCAGATTGCCGAACGAAACGTTGGAATTACTTATTTCAATATCGCTGAGATTTTACAAATATAATTTAATACAAATGTCTACTTCTCACTCGGCGCCCAAATATTTTAGAACTATTCGGTCAAATCTTGACGACAGTTCATTTAAACATTTAAACATCGAATGTATTTATAGCAATCCTCACCTAACTAGAACCAAGTCTTTCCCTCAGTAATTCACAACCCCACATCGAACGTCATCCGAAGTCGATCATTTCATTTTCACTATTCGTGAATACTCAACCTTGTAAACGGTTTCCATGGTGTGATTCAACCTTTGATTCCAGTTGTACTGTCAAACATACAGCAAGTAATCACGGCCTAATTATTTGAGGAGTTCCAAATCCAATTTCACCACTAACACACAATCCCGAGTTCTCATCTAAGCGTTCTGGTTTGACTCTGTCGCACACTGGTGAAAGGCAGAATTTGGCGTATTGTGAATGATGACGACATACATAGAATTTCGTTTATCTCATAGAAGTCAGATCAAAGTCCTTGAAGCACTCACAGAAGGAAGATAGGGATGAATGCAACTGCCGTAAATAGTCTCTTACCCAAATGAACTAATCTCACATTTTGGATTTCGTGACTCAAGAAGTGAGATCACAACACACAAACATTCAAAACTCATTTTGGAGTAGATGAATGAATGAAGAAGACACAAGCAACGAGGGTCTTTTTCAGCTGTCAACAAATGACACTAATGGATGTCTCAGTCTGAAATCAACAAATTATCCTTTCACCCACGCTTTAATAATATCGTCACGACTGAAGACAAGAACTCAACTATCAGTTATCGAAACTTGGAGAACAACGAACAGTTCCCACACACATATTGAATTTCAACTCATTTCAGTCATTCTTTAACAGCTTAAATTACAATAGATTCAGTCATTTAATTCGATGGAATCACTAGGAGTCGTGCACACTTTGTAGGTGGCTCTGCTTCCTCTATAAGTAAGTTGTATTTGCGTCGTCAAACCATCAAAATTATGACGTTTTATGCTCATACGGAGATGCAATATATTTCACTTGAAAATGCTATTCTAAAGAATGCTCAGTGATAACAGGCTACGAGTGTCATTACTATTATGATATGTGAACGCTGTTATCGTTTCTCAATTCATACACTTCATTATATTTTACAATTAAAAAATTACAATTTACACACTTTATTTTTCAAAAAAACGACAGTTTTTATATGTTGACTTTGCCTTTAGCATGTTGAAGAGCAGTTACATAAGATTTTGAATGAGGTTTATTACGCTCAGAATTCATTGAAAAAATCATATT